GAGTTTCAAAGTGGGGTGAAAAGCTTAGTCAGAGACTGAGAAATACATAATCATCTCAGATTTTTGTTATTAATGCATGATCTCTATATTCACCCCCCACCCAGGCCTGGACCAGCCTTCTGGAGAACCTGACCACCAGGAACCCACAGAGCAGCCTGCAGGCAAGTGCTCCACCCCTGAATCCTGCCCCCTCCCCTGAGAATGGAACCTTTTGACCCCATCTCCTCTCCCTTGTGGTCACAACTGCTCTGTCCCTGAAGGTTCCCACTTGCATCTGAAGCTCTTCCTCTTACTGGAGTGATCGATTTTTTCTCTTCCTAATTTAGTTTAATTGGAAAAGAATTAGCTGATGCTGAGCTCTGTAAGGAGGTTGAGTCAGTTAGTTTTAGCAGCATTTCAAACCACCCAAACATGGGCACTTATGGCAACATACGTCATTACCCATGACTCCTTGAGTCTGGTGAAACAGTTCTGATCTAGGCAAGGTTGAGTCATCTCTACAATCAGCTGGCAGCGGGACTGAGAATTGTCGATATAGGATGGCCTCTATGTTAGTCAGCTTTTTGTCACTGTAACAAAACGTCTGAGAAAAACAACTTCAAGGGGGAAAGATTCATTTTTACTCAGTTTTCAGTCCATGTTCAGCTGGCTCATTGCTTTGGACAAAACGTCATGGTGGAAGGGTGTGTCACAGCAAAACTGCTCACCTCGTGGCAGCCAGGAAGCAAAGAGAGAAAGAGCCAGCTGTGGGAAGAAAGGAAGGTTCCAGGGACAAGACAGAGTCCCCAAGGATCCTCTTCCTTCAACTCGGCCCCATTTCCTGCAGTTGCCGTCACCTCCCAATAGCCCAGTTAGCTAAGGATCCAACAGTGGATTAATCTATTGATTAGGTTAGAGCCCCCATGATCAGATCTCATCCCCAAAGTGTCCCCCCCACATTGCTGCATTGGGGGATGAAGCCTGCAGCACATGAGCCTTCGGGGACACTTCATATTCAAACCAAAGAGCATCCTTCTCTTCACATGACTGGCAGTCATCTGGCTCTTGATTGGGACAATGGAGATAACTGGGTCACATGTCTCTCCCTGTCATATTCACAGGGAGGTGGTCCTAGGGGTCCCGAGAACAGAAAGAGAAGAAAAACTCATTTACTAGCATTTTTCAAGTTTCTGATTTTGTCACGTTTGTTCTTGTCTCATTGGCTCCAGCAGAGTTGGGTGGAAGGGGGATTGTGCAACAGTGTAGAAACAGCTGGACGTGGTGATACAGGAGCCTGTAATCCCAGGGACTCAGGAGGAAGAGGCAGGAGGGTTCCAAGTTTGAGGCCAGCCTCAGAAATTTAGTGAGGCCCTAAATAACTTAGCAAGACCCCACCCGAAAATAAAAGATAAAAAGGGCTGGGATGTGGTTCAATGGTAGAGCACCCCTGAGGGTTCAATCCCCTAGGACCAAAAAAGAAAAAAAAAAGAAGACAAAAACAGGGCGAGAGGCCCTCCCACCTCCCGCACTTCTAGCTTTCATTCTGCTTCTTGGCTGTGTGTAGATGTGTCCTAACTGTTGTGCCAAAGAGCCACCACGAGTCAAATGCCAATCACTGTAGAAAGCGGAATGAGTGATCTTTTCCAGGGTGGGTCAGGTGATCCCCCCAGAGTCCTGTAGGAACCGCACAGACTAGGAGCAGGGGACTGGCTCTTTTCCCAAAGGAAAACAAGTGTCCTTAGCAGTTGATGGCAAAATGGAGGGACTGAACCTTGTCCTCAGGGATGTGGTAACCCACTATTGGCCGGGATGGCGGTTGGTGGAAATAAGACATTGGTGATGAAATCTGTGGAGAAGAAAGGACATTGAGGATAGACCCTTGATTATTCCAAGGCTCAGAGTTGTGAATTTGCTTCGGCGATTCTGGAAATAGGTAGTGGTTCGTTTGTGTGACCAGAAGGTACAGTTGCGGAGTCTATGGTTGGTGGGCAAAACGGGAGCTGTGGAATAGGCTGGATTATAGAGAGGACTCAGGCAATGGCTGAACCTGCTGCTGACTTGACTTGAGAGAGGAGCCACCTGCCCTGAGATGGCAAGAAGAGGTGGAGACGGAGATTGTTGCTCATTGGCTTCCTGGACCTTGGGTGGGGGTGGAGGCTTTGCTTGATCAGGGGCGGCTTTCTCAGACAGCTCCCATTGCACCCAGAGAAGATGGCTTGGGGCTCACTGAGAGGTCTCCCCACCCCTAGGACCCCCCGGGCTGCCCCTGCTGCCCGTGTTGTTTGCTGTCGGGGGTCTTCTGCTGCTTTCCAATGCTTCCTGTGTGGCGGGATTCCTCTGGCGACGGAGACTGAAACATCTTGCTGAGGGTGAGGAGAGGTCCTGCCCCTGCCAGGACAGAGACCCTAGGGGGACAGGAACCCTGGGGTTGCTGCATATTTGAGATCTCCCCTGGACCAAGTGGGCTCCCATGGCCTCTCTGATTCCTTTCCCCCTATTTCTCTCAGGCATCTCAGAGAAGACAGAGGCAGGGTAAGTAGGGGCATTTTGCTGTAAAGAAGGCTCTGAGGAAGGAGGTTTGGGGGTGACAGGTGGCAGAGGGTCAGTCACCCAACTGCCGCCCATACCTCCATCTTGGAAGGTCGGAGGAGGAGAGAGTCAGGAATGAATATGAGGAGAGCCAGTGGACTGGGGACCGGGACACTCAAAGCTCCATGGTGAGTGGGGGTGGCTTGGACGGATCCAATGATAAACTCTACTGTGAGCTTCAAGTTAATCATTTCCCTTTGTGTAACTGTGGAGTCAGAAAATGGAAAGGACTTTACCTGTTTTTTTTTTTGTGTGTGTGTGTGTGTGTGTGTGTGTGCGCCTGACAGGCTAGCACGTCAGAAGTAGAGCCATATTACCACTCCATGAAGGACTTCAGCCCTCGGCTGCCTCCCACCCTGGAGGAGGGATCTTATCCCCAAGGTGAGTCAGGACCCCATCAGGACCGCCCCCATTCCAAGGTTCTCCTGACATCTGGGCTGGGTGCCCTGATGACTCTTCCTTCCACTCCAACCCTGGGTTTCACAGGTCTCAAAGATGAGGACATGGCCTTTCCCGGGCACCTGTATGATGAGGTGGAAAGAATGTATGCCCCATCTGGAGCCTGGGGACCCCTGTATGATGAAGTACATATGGTAAGGAGATTTGTATCACACGCAGTTCAGGCTGGAAACCTGCCTCCTAACTGCTTGTATTAGTTAGGGTAAATTAGCTGCTGTAACAAAGAAGCCTGGCCCTAATCCAGCGGCTTAAAGAAGACAGTCTAGGATTGAAGATGTATCTCAGGGACAGAGCTCTTGCTTAGCATGGGTGAGGCCATAAGTTCAATTCCCAGCACTGCAAAGAAAGCAGGAAGCAGTTTTTCTCTTCTCACGTGGCTGTCAGAGGTGAGCCCTACTGTAAATGTTTATTCAGAACCCAAGTTCTTTCCACTGTGTTCCTCTGCCATCTCCTGGGACATCCATCATCCAGGTCTATGTGGAAGGGCCAGTTTCAGCTGGAGTGAAAGGAAGCACCACCCTGCCTTATGGCCCAGGTCCAGAATGGTACACATACATCTCTCATTCCACCAGGGAAAACAGGGTCCCATTGCTATGCTTCACTGCAAAGGAGGCTGTGAAATGTAGTCTACCTTGGTACCTACACGCCTCACTACAGTTCTGCTACTGTGGAAGACTGAAGGGAAGTTTTTCCTTGGGCACTTAGTAATCTCTACCACAATGGTTAAGCAACTAGAGAGAAAGATTTTTTTTTTTTTGGCTCATTTAGCTGAGGAGGGATAGAATTGTCTTCAGGACCAGACAGATCTGGGAGTTTCTCCCTAAAGATTTCCTAGAAAAGCCAGGTTTGTAGATAGTTAGATTAGGAATCTTCAAAGAAAGGGAATGCCTCTTTCCCAAAACTCCCAATGCCCAGTAATGGTATTGATCTAGCTTGGGTCATATCCTCATTGTTGAACCAACCACGGAGGCAGGGGATTGACTGTACTAATTGGACAAGCCTGGATCCGTGTCCACCCATGGGATCAGGGAATAGAGGCCAACTCTACTCAGTTCACCAGATTGAGGGTGGGAGAAGACAGACAACCAAAAAGAAAGTAAAGATGGTGTCTAGGTAGATGAAAACAGCAGGCACTATGACCATCCACCCACCCATTGCCCCCAAAGTAAGGGAAGTGGGACAGAAGGCTTGACTGTGTGTGACCTGGCTAATGCTCTGGCATTTTGGGCCAAGGGAGTCCCCTTTAACAATGTCCCCCTTGGTGCACGGTTTTCTCAGACTGTAGCTCTGTACCAACAAGGAAATGAGGTAGAGCCCCATGGCGCTGTCCATGGTTCTGGACTGTCCGTGCCCGGAAGGCACAGATGAGGGAATCTGCAGACATTTTCTGTAGAGGGTCAGAGAGTAAATATTTTGGGCTTTGTGAGACATAGGATTCTTCAAAACTGCTCAGCTCTGCCACAGTGGGGTTAAAGCCACTCATACATAAAAGAATGACTGTAGCTATGTTACAATAAAACTTTATTTTTGGACACTGAAATTTGAATTTCATGTCATCTTCATATGCCACAAATATTATTATTCCTTTGATCTTCCCAACAACAATTTATAAATATCAAGCCATTCTTGGCTCTCAGGCAATACAAAAACAGGTGGCAGGCTGTATTTGGCTCACGGGTCAATCTGCTCTAAAGTTTGCTAAACAACTATTTTCTCCCAGCTCTAGAACAAAGCACATCTCTGGCAAGGATAACCCTTCATTGTCTTTTTTTCTCTTTAATTTTGATGGGGGAAGTGTTTTGTAAATGCTAACAGGGCTAACAGAATCATGACCCATATTCCAAAACTGCCATAGCCAATATCAATATCTACAAAGGGTTTGTATTCCTGACATTTAAATTATTTTTCCTGCCATGAAATCATGGGATATCTTGAACTAGTTTCAAAAATAATCCAGTTGGGTGGAAGTAGAGGGTAAGAGGCAGAGATTTAGATAAATCAAGATGGACCAAGGGATGGTTCTGTGGAAGTTATGTGTTGGTACATTGTGGTTCATGAGGGGGTTCACTATAATCACTCTTCTGTGTGTAGATTGGATCTTTTCCCTAATTAAGTAGGACTTTTTCCCCTGGGAAGGTGAGTAGGGGTGTGTGTCCTCCATAGCTGTGACGATGACCCAAAAGGATCTCTCCATGGTTCTAATTCTACTTTTTTGCCTGTTAGGATCCTTATGACCTCCGTTGGCATGAGGACAAGTATGAGAATCCAAGAGGAATCTATGACCGAGTGGCAGAAGACTTGGATGCTGTGAGATCTGATTCTCTACCCTTTGAGCTGAGGGGAGAGCTGGTGTGACAGAACTGTGTTCAAGACAGAACCCAGGGTGGGGGGATATGTGTAAGTGACAGAAGAAGGTTCAAGCTGGTGTCAAAACATCACCAAGGCTCCTTCTGGGCTTAGTTTTAGAAACTCAACTTCTCTCAAGGGGCAGAGTCATTCACGTGACACCTCAACAATAAATAGCTATTCTAAGGGTCTTTATGCTTTTTGAAGTAAAAATTCAAAATTAGAAAAGACATATTAGCAACTCATTTCTGGGCAGGGGACGCTGGGATTGTAGCTCAGTGGTAAGAGCGCTTGCCTAACATGCATGAGGCACTGGGTTCGATCCCAAGCACCACATACAAGTAAATAAAACGAAGGTACAGTGTCCATCTACCACTAAAAAAAATTAAAACCCTGCCATCTTTAAAAAGAAAAAAAAAACCTCATTTCAGGGCTGAGGATGTAGCTTAGTGGGAGAACGCCTACCTAAGGCCCTGGGTTTGAGTCCCAGCATCGCCAAAAGCCAAAACAACAACAACAAAAAAACTCAGTTCATTTTGAGTTTGATTACATCTGGAATAGCTAATAATAAGTGGAGTTTATGAACCATGGTTATGCCCTGCCTGTACTTGGCTTATTGTTTCCCACGTATATAAAACATGATGCATAAACTGTAGCACCTGTGTAAGAATAGGCCGTCAAAAGGCGGGGAGATGCAAAAGAATACATACCATGTGATTTCGTTTTTAGGAATAACTGATTTATTGTGCTATGGTTATATAAGAGAGTGCCTTGCTCTTTAGAAGTGTGTGTTCTTCTATATTTAGGGTGAAAGGGTATTGCAGCTTCCGTTTATCCTCAAACAGATGAGAAAAAAATATGCGTATTTACACAGAGATAAAAACAGATGAAACGTGGTAAAATGTTGACATTTGGGGAATCTGGGCAAAGTGTACATTGGAATTCTTTGTTCTGTTCTTGGAACTTTTGCATAGGTCTGAAATCATGTCAAAATAAAAGTTAAAGTTAAAAAATTTGTTGTAAAGCTGCCTAACAATGACAGAGATTCGAAGAAAAGGATGTGAAGCTAGGTGTCATGGGCTCTTGGTTCTGCCCAGCTCTTTCAGTGGTGACGATGGCACACCAATACGAAGGTACTTAATACCACTGAACTGGATATTTCTAAATGGTTAAGATGGTAAGTTTTATATTATGGGTATATTACCACAATAGAAATTGAAGAGAAATCCAACTAACAAAACACAAAAATGGGCTTTGCACGGACAAGAATGCACAGGAATAATGATTAATCTGTTCTGTGTTTCTGAAGGCTTAGAAGGAAAAAAGAAAAGAAAAATAAATATTCAGCCACAACCATGTGCTTATGAGGGTGAAACTGCCAACCAAAAATGTTTTGACAGTATCTACAAAACCCGAACATATATATGCATATGCCATGACCCAATAGTTACACACCCAATGGAGATAATTCTATATGTGAACAGAGACACTAACTAGTAGGTTCAATGGCATCAGCAACTGGAAACAACCCAATTGTCCATTAAAGGAAAATGGAACTCAATTATATATTCATCCAACAGATTCTAGGCAATGAGGATGAATGAACTACTGATATATAGAACAACATGGACAGATTTTACCAAGATAATTAGGGAATCAAAGTCAGACCCAAAGAGAACATGCTGTATGATTTCCACTGCAAACAGGCAAAAACTAATCTGTGACACTGGAAGTCAAGAGTAGATATCTTTGGTAAATAGTGACTTCCGTACCAGGAGAGCTTCTGGGGTGGGGAGTAGTAGATAATGTTATTTATTGACCTGGGAGCTAGCTATATGGACATGGTCGCTCTCTGAAAATTTATCATACTGAACACTTGTAATATGGCCATGCTTCTATATGTGTTATATTTTACTTAAAAATTTATATTATATCTCACAGGTGGGATTGTGATTTTCTAATATGGTTAATTAAAAAGGAACAATTGTCACTCTGTATCATAGTTTCCTTTCAGAAAAGGTCAATATATTCTGGGCGCAGGGGGCACCAGGCTTGGGAGGCTGAAGCAGAAAGATTGCAAGTTCAAAGCCAGACCTAGCAAAAGCAAGGTGCTAAGCAACTCAGTGAAACCCTGTGTATAAATAAAACACACGCATACAGACACACACAGACAGACACACACACACACACACACACACAAAAAAAAAAAAAAATCCGCGAGAGGTGGCGCACTGGGAGAGAGACCCCGAAGTCAAACCCCAAGAACCCCCCACCACACACAGGCACACAAAGGGTCAATATATTTTAACCATACCCCAAATTTTCATGTTTGCATATATGTTATGTTAATAATGTAATTAACATTGTATTGCCTTTTATTTTTACCCACACGAATGCCTGTAAGGACATTTTCAAGTTGTTCGGGCTGCGAAAGCAATGCCCAGTTTTCTGGGCCCTGACTTCTGAAAGTGGGTACCGCGCCCTGTGATCAATGTAGCAACCACGAACGCGTGTGCAAATGCCAAACTCTCCCACTAGGGGGCGGCACTGCCCCGTTGAGAAGACTTGACTTGGCCCGCGATCGTGAATCAGCGCGTGCCCAGGGGGTTCCGGTGTTCAAGGGCTAGAGGTCTGTGCTGGAGATTAACACTGGTCAGGGAGTGTCCCCTGCGTGTAAGTGGCCACAGAACCCCAATATTTAAGGATAAGTAGCGGTGCAGGAGTAGAGGCCGAGAGGACTCCAGGAGCACAGTGCAGGGAGGGATTTTTCTAAAGTTGCTGAAAAATAAAGGGCAAGTGTAGGAATTGAGGCTGATGAAATGAGCGAGGATCGATCACGTTATCTTAAGGAGTTTGTCCTTTATCCGAGGACGGAAGTCATTTTGCAACAATAATAACAGCATTTATTCCGTTTCCACTTACCACTTAAGTTCTTCATACGTATTATGTATTCTGGAACCAACGGAATCACTCGTGAGTCCTGTTGATTTTGTCATTCACAGTCACTCATGGGGGTATCCTCAGTGGTAAAATGTCCCTAGATTCAATCTCTTCTTCTACTACTACTACTACTACAAAAAAGTGAGTCCTATTTAGAATCTACTTGTATTCATGTAAGAAGAAATCTCTAAGCCCCTTGTCCACCAAATGCTAAACATCTATATTTACATCATTCAACAAAAATTAAGTCCAGTGCTAAGTAATATGTATAAATAAATGACAAGGCTAAATGTAATTCCTACCCTCATGATGGTCACAGCCCAGTGAGGAGGGAGGGATTAACTAAGTGCTTACTCAAAGATGAACAAACGTGGGCCGTGGCTGTGGCTCAGAGGTAGAGTGCTCACCTAGCATGCGTGGGGCACTGGGTTCAATCCTCAGCATCACATAAAAATAAAATGAAGATATTGTTTCCACCTATAACTAGAAAATAAATATTAAAAAAGAAGAAGAACGGACATGGCAAGATCTGCAAGGTTGCTTTGGTATTAGAGTGTGACATGGTAGAACGTCCCATCATCTGGGAGGGACCACTGTGTAAGTCAGCATTCTGTTGCTGTGACCAAAATACCTGACCAGGACAACTTAGAGGAGGAAGAGTTTATTTTGGCTCGTGATTTTAGAGGTTCGATCCATGGTGGGCCAACTCCATTGTTGAGTCCAAGAGGAGGCAGAACAACACAGTCGAAGGGTGGAAGATGGGGTGGAAGATGCACCTGCCCAGGGCATCTGCCAATCAGTGATCCAACTCCCCCTTGTACTACATGATGGCAAGGGGTTTTTTTGTTTTGTTTTGTTTTTTCCCCAAAGGTCTTGGGCAGCTCTGCCCCTTGGTCTTGTCACTTGGAGGGCACTGGCCTCTCTTTTTAACCTGTCTCTCTCTGCAGCCAGTCCACATTACTGGCATTTCCTAACTACTGGGGGTCCTGGGGTTCCCACTCCAGCTTTGGCTTCTCCTTTACAGCTTCATGCATCACCCTCTCAGCAAAAGCCGACAGACCCTGCTACCCCTTGCCTGGCTTCCTAGGCCTTCCTTTGAATCCTCAGTGAAAGCCTCCATGATCCCCTCATTCCAGCCTCACGTAGATGATGCCAAGGTCTGCTGCCAGCTCACACATACCTGAGCTCCACGGAATCATAGCTGCAGCATCCTCTGAGTGCTGATGTAGCTCAGCATGGTTAAAAAATAATTCCTAGGCCCCAGGTATGAGCAGGAACCCCCATGATCTCCTTTCAAAAGAATTTTCTCTTCTGCACCCTGGAGCCTGTAGTGGATGTGCTCTTGCAAATTCCTGAGATGTCCCCAAGTCAACTTTCTTATTGTCCCTGTGAGAAGTACTCAGCATCCCTTTAGGGACTCTAATCACTTCAATAAGCACAACTTCCTTGGTCCCAGTTTTATAAACATTTTTTTTTTGGCCAATTTGCAAGTTTTAAAAATCCTTTAGCTCTGTTTTTTTGCTCCTTAGTCTCACAGTAATCCTGGCCAAAAGCTGCCAGAAACATCCCTGCCACTGACTAAATGCTGTCCTGCCTTGGAATTTCCTCTGACAGATTAATTAGACCATCACCTCTAAATGCAGCCTCACACACAGTCTCAGGACGTGAGCAAAAAGTAGCCAAGTCCTTTGCCAGAACATAGCGTGGGTGGCCTCTAGTCCAATTCCCAACAGAGTCCTCATTTCCCCCTGAGACCTCAGGAGCACAGTCCTCATACCTGTCACCGTTCTCGTCATTTGAGCCCCCCCAGAATCACCCATTAAGCTCCACTTGCAACATTCTAAAAGTTTTCCAGCTTGCATCTCCCAAGGCTTAAAAGTCCCACAGACTGGCTCCAAAGACTTCTGAACCACATGGTCAGAGGTGAGTGACAGCACCACCCCAATCCCCAGTGCCGATTTCTGTTTGAGTCAGCTTTGGGTCTCTGTGACCCAAAAGACCTGAGAAGAACAACTTCAAGGAGGAAAAGATTATTTAGGGCTCTAAGTTTCCAAGGTTTCAGTCCATAGATGACGGACTCCATTGCTCTGGGCCCAAGGTGAGGCAGCGCATGATGGGAAAGGGCACGAGTGACCTTTCCTAGCCACTTATGCCAGCTCCCGGTGGGGTCAGGAAACAGAGAGAGGGAGGAAGAGGCCGTAGGGAAATTGCACCCTTCCAGAGCAGCTTCTGGTGACCCGCCCCCTTCAGCCATGCCCCACCTGCCCCCGAGGTACTGCCCAGTCTATTCAAATGAGGAGGGTCTGACTAGGTCACCGCTGTCATGATGGAACCACCTCACCTCTGAACATTCCTGGACTAAATCCACACCACAACCTACTTCATTTCTTTGATTTATTCAATAGTTACTCAGCACTAATATGTGCTG